TCTAGTTATTGATTAAATTTATAAGCACCCTAAATAAATCACATCTAAAGGTTGCTTTAAATGGTATCAAATATCTTAAAAAGGACCTTAGTAGAGGTCTCTTCTTTCCTTCTTTTGAAAACATGAAGTTAGAAGGATATTGTGATTCAGATTGGGCTTCATGCCTGGAAGCTCATAGATTCGTTACAGGATTTTTAGTTAAACTAGGTGGGGCCATTATTTCCTGAAAATTGAAGAAACAAACTATTGTTTCAATATCTTCTACTGAAGTAGAGTATAGTGTCATGGGAAGTGTTGTGTCTGAGATTATATGACTTGCTGGTTTATTTACAAATTTGCATGTTTATGATTTAGCTCTTATGTATATTCATTGTGACAGTAAAGATGCAATTCAAATTATTTCAAATCTAGTTTATTATGAAAGAATAAAACACATTGAGATTGACTGTCATTTTGTATGCGAAAAGCTTTAAAGTGAGTTGATTAGTTTAAAGCATGTGGTGTTAGGAGAACAATAAGAAAATATTTTAACCAAGGCTCATGGTAGAGAAATGCATGAGCTTGTGTTGCACAAGTTAGGAACCTTTAACATTTTTTGATCCAACTTAAAAAGAGAGTGTTGAAAGTTGAATATTGGGCCAGTGTTATGTAGGCCGTGCTGACATTCTCAGTGTTTTGGGCCGAGTTTGTAAGCTTGTCTTTCTTAATATTTCTTTTGACTTGGCAATGCAGCCTGGATACATGCTGACATTCTGCACGCCCGTGTGCGGCATTTTTTCAACATAATGAATTATTCAGTTTTGTTCTGCTTTCCAACATCTTCCATTGTGTCACAAACCGTCTCTTGGAAATTGGTACGTCCTCGAACTTTCCAGAGAAAACTCGGACCAATATAACCAAATCCTCCCCTTAGAACGTTCCAGACACACACCACTTCTATAAATCCCCTTTCCAGTCCTTTCTTATTTCGTTCACTGCTTCATCACCTTCTCTCAAGCGTAACTTTTGTCGATCTGTGTTCAGCTTCATTGATATTTTTCTTGGACTATGCCAAGCCGATCAACCGGAACCATAACCCAAGACTGGGAACCGGTGGTTCTACACAAGAACAAGCCTAAGGCCCAGAACCTGCGCAACCCAAAGGCCGTGAATCAGGCACTCCGATCAGGAGCAGAGGTCCAGACGATCAAGAAGTTTGACGCCGGATCGAATAAGAAAAACGCTCCGGTTGTCAACACGAGGAAGCTGGATGAAGAAACCGAGCCGGCGGCTCTGGAGAAGGTACGCGCAGAGGTGAGAACAGCCATACAGAAGGCTAGGCTGGAGAAGAAGATGAGCCAAGCGGATCTTGCGAAGCAGATTAACGAGCGGCCACAGGTGGTGCAGGAGTACGAGAACGGGAAAGCGGTGCCGAATCAGGCCGTGCTGGCGAAGATGGAGAGAGTTCTAGGCGTGAAACTCAGAGGAAAGATCAGCGGCAAGTGAGGATTGAAGGACTCGAAGATTGCCATGCCACCATTTAGCCATGTTCAGTTGATGTGGACGGTAAAAAGATGTAAAATGAAAATTAGCGTGATCAACGGCCTGTGAAATTAAACATGTAATATGTAGAAAGAGATTCTGTGTGACTGTTTTGATTTACTTGTAATGAAACCTTTTGATGGAGGTATATTTTGTGAATTGTATGAGTGTGATTGAGTTCATCAGTGAATGATTTTGATACGACTGTTAATCTTTAAACAAATGCAGTATTCTGGAAACGGATCCACTCATCTGAAGGTGCTGGATGGAGACAAAACTCAGATCATGACAAAGATTTCGTGAAACGAGCAGAGGATTCTAGAAACTCATTCAAGCTCGAGACAATTCAAGTTGGCGAACATCATTTACTGATAGCATCCAGATGAAAAAATATATGCAGTGATGTAAATATTTTCAAGAACAAGAACCTGCACTCAAAATATTTCTCTTGCGCCCTGTTCTCCACAGGCCATTCTTGCGCCATTCTACACCTTGGATTTCATTGCTCCTGTTGCTTGTGTTTATCAATTTCAAATATTGGTTTTGTTCAAGAAGTTAAATTATTTTTAATATAGTTTTTAAAATTATTTTTAAAGTAAAATAAAATAAAAATTTATTTGATTAAAAAATGATTAATAGTAATAATTATAAATAATTAATAATAGTAATTAATAATAAAAATTGATCAAGTTAATTATAATTTTTAATATTAAATATAATTTATTTTAAAAATAAAATAAAATCAAAACAACTTAAATTTATTTTTATTTTTTTGATTTTGAAAATAAAAAATAAAAATAATTTTAGAAACAATTAAATAAAAAATACTTATTTAAATAAATTTTTTTATTTTTTTATTTTTAAAAATAAAAAACAATTTTTTGAAAGAGAAACACAAACAGGTCCTTGCATTTTAGATTAATTTTTATAACAGGATGATAAGTTTTTAGAAAAAATAATTAGCTCAAAGCCTGATACACTTGGTTAAATTTTGGAAATTAATTGTTCGAATGCAGTATACTCATTTTTTAAAAAATGGGATAAACCTAGGAGGCGAGAAAGAGAGGGAGGCACAGGAGAGTCATTGTTCATGAAAAAATTATCTATGAGTTTTGTAGAGCTGATTTATTTATAAATAAATTTTATAAAATTTAAAAGTCACAAGTAAATCACTTGAGACTTGAATATAATTTAAAATTTTAATAAAAAAATAATGTTCTTATTAAAAAAAACACATACACACACTACATCATTTAAATAATTATAATTACATCATTAATAATTTACAATTATAATTTAAATTTTTTATAGTTGTAACTTCATATATTTAATAATTAAATTAATAATTATATCATTAATAATTTACAATTATAATTTAAATTTTTTTATAGTTATAACTTCATATATTCAATAATTAAATTGATTAATTTAATTATTGAATATGTGAAGTTATAGTTGTAAAAAGTTAAAATTATAGTTATAAATTATTGATGAAGTAATTATAAATAATTAATGTTAAACTTTGTTAGTAACTCATGATTATTTAATTATTTTATATGTGAAGTTATAGTTATAAAAAGTTAAATTATAATTATAAATTACTAATCAAGTAGTTATAAATTAATTATTTAATTGACATAATATGTGTTTAATAAGGGTATTATTATCTTTGCATTTTAAATTACACTTAAATCTTAAAGGACTTGACTGTAGTTTTTTATATTTGTAAAATTTATTTATAAATAAATTTGCTTCACAGGATTTATATATAATTTTTCTTTGTTCATGCATACACAACATCTTTTCACTTGATTATATTGCTTGCATGTACTATTACTTAGAGCCCAAAAATTCAAATGAATTGGGTTTATTTGGGCTGGTTTTAAAATACTCGAGTTTATAAAAAAATTTATATAGTTAAATTCGACTATAACCTCTCAAACTTTTGAACTTGTTTGGTTTGATCCAAATACTTGAAATTTTTTAAAATTATCTTTTATCTTTTCTAAAATAATTTTAATTTTTAATTTAAAAATTAAAATTTGTCAAACAAATACACTCTAAAATTAAAATTAATATGCGGGCTGGAGATGTGTCTTATGTAAATGCTTCATTCTAAATTTTGAAAGAATTGGACGAGCTGCGAAAGAAGTGGAATAAGACCTTTACCAAGCGTTAAGATTTTTTAGGCTTATTTAAATTAATCAAAATTATTGGTTCTTAGTATATAAGATCAAATGGATTAATTTTCCATTTATGTGAATATTGAAAAATATGGAATGTCATAGTTATATAAACACCAAGAAAAATAGGAATTTGGCCAAAGTCATAATATATCCATAATAAATGTAGGACATGCATGCATTGATTAATAAATTTAAGGACACACATGTATTCATGAATTAATTGAATACATGAATGTGAGATAGAATTAAAGTCAATATTTCTTGATAAGTTTAAGTCATGAAGGCTATATGTGTGTGTGTAAATAGAGGGCTGTTGGGATCTCCCTTCATTCCCCACCAAGTTCGTGTGGTTCTCATTATTTCACAAATATTCATAGCTTTATTTCAGCGAGAAGAGAGAAGGTTGAGGTAATATTCTAACTTCTAGCCTTCTTCTGAGTTCTGACACTTTCGTGCATTTGATTATGTAGAAAAACAAATCAAACATGCCTCATATATCTGATTTATTTTGTTTCTTAATAGATGTGTTAAGGCTATGTTTAGACTTAGTGGGATTTAGATTTCAATTTGAAATTGAATTTGAGATAAATGCTATTTGGATCCATGCATACAAATTTAAGGATTTAGATTTTGATCTAAATCTAATTAAATCCATATTTATTATAATTTTTTTTATAACATTAAATTTATTATACACTCTAGTTATCTGAAAAATGTCACAACTTTTCTATAATTTTCCGTCTTCATCGTTATATATTGGTATTTTCATCACTTTCATGTATGCTCTTATTTATCATTCTTGTCTTTCACAAGGTAAGCCCATCGTTTCTGATCTGTTCTTGTTTCAAATTTTAGTTTGTCACTCTCAATCTCAACTTGTTTCTTTATGCTATCTTAGTTTTTTTAAGTACATAAATTTTAATGATTGTATATAATAATCAAATTCAAATGTTATGCCTTGTAACTTGTCAATTAGGTTGAGTATTAACAGATTCAACCCTTTTTAAATAAGATATTAATTTCAAATTTTATAAATAAAGAATCATACTAAAACATAGCTTTTCCTCATATACCAACCTAATATCAAGTCGGATTAATTATTAACAAGACATAGTTAGGGTTAGGCTTGTAACTTATAAGATTGTGACTTAAATTTCGCTATTGATGTGAGGATTTGTTGATAAATAATTTATAAATATTTTTATAAACACTCTTCAAGCCTAAAAATATGCCTTGGATGGCCTTGGTAAGTTCCCTAGAGTCAACTTTGCTAAACTTTTCTTCAAAAAAAAAAGATAAATAATTTATTTCTCAATTTATGTGTGTCATCCTTGCACAGTGACAATGCCAATTTTTTTCTATGTCGATCCATTTTTGTCAAATATTCCCAAAGGCACATAGTTTATTAGTGGTAGATCTTTGCCCTGACTTGGGTGAAACTAGTCTAGACTACTAATAATTTCTCTAATTAAAGTGAGGTAAGTCCAAGATACCATATGCTTTATGGAAAAACATACAAGATAGTTCATTAGGGAAAAAATGTAATATCCTCTTTCACGAAGAGGAAATAAAAGAATTGAGTAAGGATTTCATGGATACATTCTTTGTATTGGCCATAAATTGGTGCTCCAAAGTGGCACCAAAAAAGGAAAAGAAACATCACATGAAACCAAAATGCATATTACACACCAATTCATTATAGTTGTTAAAAGCATGATCTTCTTCTCTCTCTTTGTATATATATACTCTTTTTTACTTCAACTTTCTGATTTTTGCCCTCATAACGTAACGTGACAGGTAATTTAGCAGCTACAGAAATGGCAAGTTTATCTGATATTGATGTCCATTCTCATCCCTTCTCCAACATTCCAACCATAAAGTTCACCAAACTTTTCATCAATGGACAATTCGTTGATTCCATTTCAGGTTCTAACTTTTCCTTTTCTGTTTTTTTTTTTTTTCTCTGTCTCTAAAATTCCTTTCCCCCGTTAACTCTGTCTTCTTCTCATAAGGAATACAGTTTACTTTTGCAATAAATAAATATTTTGTAAATTTGTAAGAAGTTTATATGAGATTTACATCTAGTTTTGTTCTTATCATAATCATAGATATTTTTTATTCAAAACTTAACATTAATTATTTAAATGTTGATAGAGTGCAATAATATAATATTTTCACATAGCTGATCCTGCTTAGATTTGTTGTTGTTTTGTAAAAAATTACATAATTTTAAGGACTGAAAATGTTAATATAATTCTTTAATATTTCATATTTTTTGACTCAAAAAGAGCGCGTAGTTCTGTGCTGTAATTGCCACTTATGATCTTATCCAAGTCAACTTGTAGTGGAAACCTAAGACTTAAAACTGAAGGCAATGAATTAAACTTAATGACTGCTGCTACAATTAAAATTTGCTAAGCACAATGTTGGAATTGTATATGAATAGAAATTAGGGGTTCAAATCTACTTATAGATCAAAATAAAATGCTAAGGACAAATATGATATAGGTAATTATTTTTTTGCCAACCTTATAGATAATTATTAAATTTACTACCTCTCTCTCTCTGCATGATATATGGATTCGAAAATACAGTCATATTATTCATATTTTTTTATAAATTTTATTAAATATATTTTATTATATAGAATTATAAAAGTAATAAATTTTTACATAGATTTCAGGTAAATTTTTTATTTTATATATATATATATATATACACATACATTAAATATTTAATGCTGATAATTGCGCTGTCTGGATGTTTCTTTTTTTAAAATGTAAATAGGAAAGACATTTGAGACTGTGGACCCAAGAACAGAGGAAGTGATCACCGAAATAGCAGAGGGGACTGAAGAAGACGTTGATCTCGCCGCGAAGGCGGCACGTGAGGCTTTCGATTCTGGTCCATGGCCACGCATGACCGGCTCTGTACGTTTATGTCTTCGCCTTCTTTTTCTTCTTTTGATACTTAACAATTAGCAATCCAAATGGATATAGTTCGAAGCCGTTATTGAAGTAGCAGTTTAGTAACTAGCAAGTACCATGTTAAATGTTCGATGAAATACCAAGCAGGAGAGAGCGAAGATAATGATGAGATGGGCCGATCTAATTGAAGAGAACGTAGAGGAGATAGCTGCGTTGGACACCATTGATGGGGGTAAGCTATACACGACATGTAAGGCGGTAGACATTCCCCATGTAGCTAGTCTTCTTCGTTACTATGCGGGTGCTGCGGATAAGATTCATGGAGAGGTGTTGAAATCGTCAAGGAATCTTCACGCTTATACTTTAATGGAACCTATTGGTGTTGTTGGCCATATCATCCCCTGGAATTTCCCTACCCACATGTTCTTCGCCAAAGTTAGCCCGGCCTTGGCTGCTGGCTGCACCATGGTCCTTAAACTGCTGAGCAAACTCCTCTCACTGCTCTCTTTTATGCCCACCTTTCCAAGCTGGTATGGTTCAATTTAAGCTCACTTGACTGATCAGAGACAATAAATTAGACCGAATATGAAAACGGAACAACCTACTTGATGAACACTGAACAGCATATTTAGATTGATTCAATTTCTTTAAGACAATTGGGTTTTTCTTTTTGAAGGCTGGAATCCCAGACGGGGTGCTCAATGTGATAACTGGGTTTGGCCGGACTGCAGGGGCTGCAATAAGCTCTCACATGAACATTGATGCGGTAATTTGCATGCATGTGATGTACTTTGGAGTTTCATAGCATTGGTTTTATTTTATTATATTTTTTTTATTTTTTGTGCATGAACTACCTGTCTGATAAAGAGATCTGGAATATGTCTTGAAGGTGAGTTTTACCGGT